AACAACCTCCGTCAGGCCGATCCTGAAAATCCCCGTAACAGGGACCTCAACGCGGAGATTAAGCAACTAGTGTACATAAGCGGAAGAAGTGGGAAAAGCATCTGAAGACATGTAACTTCGCCTCTGGTGTGAGCAAGCTGTGATCAACCGTGAGGTCACTGTCTAATCCGTCGAAGTGTGACGACAGAGTTGAAATCTCTTTCGGCGACCACGCCTCGTCGGATCCGGAGAGATGCGCAAGCTACTTTAGCCGACAGTTCATACTGCATCCTCCGGCGGACAAAGCCAAGCGTCGAGTGACCAGAGGGCAGCACAAACTGCCATCACCTAGTGCGCCTCTTGTTTTCACCAGCGGGGAAGTGAGAGTAGCCACGGGGAAGGCGAAAGTCCCCAAAGCCATTGGAGCCGACAGAATTTGCAGCTGATGCTGAAAACTTTGAGTCCTGCGAGAGTAGAGTTTTTGACCAAGGTCCTCAACCTCACTATGGCCACTGTCATCATTCCAGCCATCTGGATAAAAAGAGAGTGTTCCTAATTACTCTCGTTTCCCCTGATGCCCTTATTCCCCCACACAATACAAACCACCTGGCCTTAGCGAGGCATCAACATGGGTTTCGTAAAGTTCACAGCACAAAGAGAGCACTTAACGCCATAAACACCCAGATAACTCGTGGTCATAACCGAAACCGCCCTTTTTCTTCATCTTTGGCCCCTGCCTTTGGTGCTGCTGATAATGATAAAACTCTCACGAATCCCCACTAAAGTTGGCGATTTATCTTCTGCAAATGAAAACACTGTTGCTGACAGAACATTAATGTTGGAACTGCTAGCAGCACTTATGCCTCCATGCTTGCTTTCGGTTACGCTGGTTATAATGCTAATAATGCTGTTCAGGATGTTGTTGGTATTGCTGCTACTGGTAAACGCACTGATGAGAACAATCGACAGAAGCTTCAGAGTATCATTGCCTCTAACGTAAACAAAGATCTCGAGGTTGGTGTACGAATGAAATGGCTTCACATTTCTTCATTTCATCGTTCGGTTTCTGAGGATAAAATTTTGGATTACATCGTCAAGCATGCTAACATTAATAAACAATACTTATGTTGCAAACAGTCTCGCAGCATCACCACAGAGAGCTTTGCCTCGCGACAAATAAAGCTCAGCGTGAGTCGTTTGCTGATTGGGCATCGATATGATAAGCGACAAAGGGGAGAAACTGAACGGTTGAGTTCGTTCGCTAAGACGGTAGATACACACGAACGGGAGCAGAAAACGACATTCGGAAAATTAAGTGAAAGGGTCAGTAGCAAAACTAAGATTTTTTAACCTGCGGCGAAGGTTGTTGAATATTAATTAAATAAAAGATTTGAAATCGACTTTTTAATTGTTTTACTCAAGCCGGGTTCAAAACATTTAGTTTATTGCCTACAACTTAGTTTGTCATAGACTAATAAAAAAAAGATGCGGCTCCCGATTCATATACAAAAGTCAATTTTAAAGTTGGTGTTGCCTATGCGTTTTATAATAAAGTTTCGTCAGCAGACCTGTGGCCACTGGGTGTAAAAGTACGTCCGTTTCATTTTTTAGCCAGAGAGGAAAGTACACAAGATGCGCCGTAGCTGCTACTGATAAAAAGTTGGTCACTGGGGGGCTAACTATTTATTTTCAAAATGCCTTTGGCCTTAGAATTAAATCGCACGCTGTTAAAGTGAGCAGCTCGCAATTAGACTATGGAATATTTGTTATTATTGAGACCTGGTTAAATCCGAACTTTTATGATGCTGAATTTTCCAAATTTGTTTGTCCTCTTTCGCAAGGACAGAGATGCTGAGAAAACTGGTCGCTCGCGCGGAGGTGGTGTATTTATTGCTGTTCAACGCTAGTACTGTGCCTCATTAATTACTCTTGAAAATAGTGATTTTGTACTTGACCAGATCTGTCAGTTTTAGATACAAATCGAGCAAACCCTGGAAAATAAAATAGGGGTTCCCACAGGGTGGTGTTCTTTCCCCACTACTGTTTAACTTTTTCATTTCTAAGCTCCCTCAGCCACCAGAAGCAGTCTCGATTGTCTCTTATGCTGACGATTGTTCGATAATGGCGTCTGGGAATGGAACTGATGACTTGTGCTCGAAAGTAAACGGTTATCTCTCCAAGCTTTCTCGCTTTTTCACTCCACCGAGCCTAACCCTCTACCCTACAAAATTCTCAGCAACACTTTTCACCACCTGGACGAAGGAGGTTAGACTGAGACTGGGTATTGACGTCGATGACGAACCAATCCCAACGGTGAATAACCCGAAAATACTCGGAATAACCCGCGACAGTCTGCTTCTCGGCGCATACAACCGCAATTGTCATTAAAGTACAAAGCCGCAACAAGGTCCTCAAGACGCTAGCCAGTATCACAAAGAAACGTTGTTGGCAACATACCACCACAGGGCAGCACATTCCACAGCAGCGCATACAGCCAATGGCGGTCAGGCAACACACATCCCTCACCCCCCGCATAACAACACGTCTCCCGAACCACACGAAGCTCCTTCAATTCAACTGTAACAGACTTCAGAGCAAGATCGGTTATCTACGTCTTCATGGGTCGGCATGGAATATTGATAGTTGCGGTCCAAGAGACGAAGTTGCACAGCAATTCAACATTGTTGAATTGCGCCGGATAAATGTGCTTCGTTGAGATCGCGAGCGAGATTATGGTGGTGACCTAGCGTTCATCACCCACCACAGCGCGCAGTATCGTCTCATCGAAGCAGACATCGACCGCAGGGATACGATCCTAGAATGTGAGGGTATTGCTATCCGGTCAAATGATCGTCGGGGAACGCACTTGGCTGAGCAGATAGACGATTCGGCGTTCTGCACAATGAACGATGACGCTCTTGGCAGAATTATGGGCAGCTGCTGCAGCTCGCCAGACATAACAATCGTCAGCGCTGGTCTGATAAACAGCATATCATGGCGACCTATGCTGATCTTAGCATCAGACCATCTGCCCATAGTCATCTCGATCGATAAATCTGCCGACTTTGCTTCCGCGGAACACTGGACCTATATTAGCTTTATTAAAGCTGATTGAAATACGGTTGCCAGGCGTACTGCTTTTATCAGTACAGTACTGATTTTTCAGCTCTTGTACTGATTTTATTAATTTCTTCAATCAGTACGCTAATGTCCAGATTTGTCAAAATTTATACTGATTTGTACTGAATTTTCAATTCAAACAAAATATTTTAGGATTTTTTTAAGGTTTTCACATAATGTTGGAACTTTCTTAAACTGTACTGTAAAAAGTAAGAAGAAAATAATTCAATTATAGTTGGTGTTTAGGCCTCCACGCTAAATCGAATACTTAAATTAAATTATTGGGTGCACCACCCTAATGTTAATTTAACAGATGCACACACATACACTTTCGAATGTGAAACAAGACAAAGAGAAAAACTGCACTTTTCCTGTCAGTGCACTTTCGTTAAATTTCCCCTGAAAACGGAACTCTTCAAACCGTTTAGAGGGTTCGACTTCAGTTTCTAACCTTTTAAATATTCTATTGGATTTCAATCACCAGCGATTACGGACGTTCCGCCACCACACCACTTCATAATCAAGGTAATATTGTAAGCCCCCTTGAATTTTAATATACCTATTAAATAAACCGCCAAACTTAATTGTATTTCAAACTAAAACCTGGTGCTTTTGTTTTCTTATTTTTCCAATAAAAAACACTGGTGCACTTATCGAGTCTATACCCATTAAATCGCCAGGGTTTTTCATGGTCCATCTTCGCCAGGAACTATAATTAACCATAGCAAAGCAAATACAGTCCACTGCAGCTAAACAAAGGCGCCATTCTTTGAATATACCAGCGGTCAAGGGTCACTAGCGGTCACAAATCTCCAGATTATTACATCTGCGCATACAACCGTCCGCCAGCATCAACTGGAGAATTGCCACAAACACTAGCGTGAAGTTACCATAAGTCGGGAACGTACCACATCAGTACACAACACCCAAATTAAGCACCAGCACCACATTAAAAAACATTCAGGAGTTTTAAAGGTATGTGGTTGACATTTCAAATTTCTCGCACATTCTCGTATACGTAATACGGCAAATATTTAAAAGCCCAAAAACCTGCGCATATCCAAAATTCTCGCGAGTGATCTTGTGGAAATCATCAGTGCATTGATATCACTTTTTGTGTATTTCGCACTTAATTAGTAAATAACGTTGTGAACAAATATCTGCAGCAATACACAAGTGTGGGTTAGAGTAAATTTTTCTGTGCTTACACAAGTGTGGGTTAGAGTAAATTTTTCTGTGCTTAACACCACCTCAGTTGTTAGTGTAACCTTAATTTATAGCGAGCACACTTTTTACAAGTTTTTTTTTAATTATATTTAATTTCGTGTTTTCAAAATCACTTATTCAAATTTGCAAAGCATCGATTTTATTGTTTTTCACATCGAGTTTGCTTTCAATATTTTCAAACAATCGTGTTGCAAGCATTTGTTAATTGGTCAAATCATCGGCACTAACAACAATTCACTGAGTTGAGGATACATAACCTCACTTGTGACTGCACTTGTTACACACATTTGGTTTCACATTGGGACACTTTTTAACTTCTGCAATTCTGCATCCACAAGATCACTTTGAACGATTAATCAACAAAAATAATATCTGCGTAGCACAGTTGAATTATTTCACATTTATACGCAAATATTTCGCTGAGAGTTGGTTGGCGAGTATCAGTTCCTGTAATCTTAGAAGATTTTCATTAGTGTACGCGAGTATACATATATACATATATTTACATACATATATTACGCTTGATATTTAATAAATAATTTGATATCCTTGCGAAATTGCACCTAAATTGCGGTGTTAACTTATTTGATTGTGGTGGTTTATTCGCTTAAAACTTTGGGATAGTTATCATTTTCGTAGTGCTCTCGTAACTTATTTTCATTAGGATCTTAAAAATGGAAACATTTATCCGATTAGCTGATGTTGTGCCTGAGTTTGAGGCCGACTACAATAGCATGACTGAAACAGAGCACACAAAATACACTCTTGCCATCCAGCAAGAGGAACTGAAAGCCATGTGGAGGAAAGCAAAGATAGCGTACGAAGAGTATTTAAGTTCAGGTGCGGTAGAAGCAAAATCAGCCTCAGTGAAGGCTAAGTATAAAAGCACCTATTCTACTTATCTGCGCTGCATGTCGAACATGGCAGAATTCCATGCGAAGCTCGTCAAAAGTGACAAAGATACCGAGGATATGTCGGCCAGAGAACACAACATCCATCTCCCACCGTGTGATACGGATGTGTTCAAAGGCGATTATCTCTCGTGGCCTACATTCCGTGACATGTTTACGGCCATTTATATCAATAATAAGCGCCTCACTCCTGTAGAAAAGTTGTTTCATTTGAACCAGAAAACTCAGGGGGAGGCCAAAGAGATTGTTAGCAAATGTGATGTTACAAACGAGGGCTTCAATACTGCATGGAAAAAGCTATGTGATAGGTTCGAGAATAAACTCATTCTAGTGAATTCGCAGATAAAAATTCTTTTTAACCTAGAGTCAGTAGAAAGTGAGTGCAGTACCTCATTAAAAAAGTTACAAAGAAATATAAATAATTGTTTATCGGCTTTGCGATGTCATCAAATTGACGTATCCAATTGGGACGCCATAGTTACATATCTCTGCTCTACGAAATTGCCAGAGAGTACATTGGCTCTTTGGGAACAAACAATTGAAAATAAAACTGAAATTTCCATGTGGGAGGATATGGATAAATTCCTCTCGAATAGGTTTCAAACACTTGAAACAATATCAGATATTAAAGCTGTAAAACACCCTCGATTTTCAAAGCCCCAAAATAGCAAAAACAATGAAACTCAGAAAAGGCACGGGGCCTACCAAACAAGCGTAGCCAAGATTCTGTGCAAATTTTGTAAAGGCAATAATAACAAACTGTCAAAATGCCAAAAATTTCTTAAAATAACAACGGCAGACAGAATCGCCTTCATTAAAAATAATCATGGTTGCTTGAATTGCTTATCTTCTGGACATACTGTGACTAGGTGTACATGCTCATTTAATTGCAGCGTCTGTCACCAAAGACACCACACGCTCCTTCACATTCAAGCATTTCAGCCAAAAGAAACTATGAACCAAAGGCATCAAACAAACGTATCCGATGGGTCAGAGAACATCAACTTCTGCTCAACTCAGGCAAGACACGATGCTACCAAAGCAAACAAAGGACCAACCCAAAATGTCCAATCCTGCTTTGCTAATACCAACAAAGGAATTCTATTAGGGACCGCCCGAGTCAATATATATTTTAATAATACAAATTTTTCGGCCCGCGCTCTAATAGATTCCGGATCGGAGTGCTCTTTCATTACTGAAAGACTTAAGCGTAGGATTAATCTGCCCTCGAGGAGGATACAAGCTCAAGTATCCGGAATAAATAATACGGTCTCAGCTCAAGTAAAAGAGGCGTGTTTCATACAACTGCGGTCACCAATTGACCCACTGATCAATATAGATACCACCGTGTTGGTATTACCACAATTAACTGGAAATCTGCCGACTTGCCAAATCGATGCTAGGACTAGGCAAGCGTTTCCAGATTTAATTTTAGCAGACAAGAGATTTTTTGTAAGTGAGCAAGTTGATCTTGTCCTCGGTGGAGACATTTACGCACAAATAATGCTAGGCGGTATCAGGAAAGACGTACTGGGAACTCTTCTTGCTCAGGAAACCGTCTTCGGCTGGATTCTCACCGGTCAAACTGACACAAGTACCCCAGCAAATAAGTGCGTATCATTTTTTAGCGAAATAAATTTAGACAAACGCTTAGCGTCCTTTTGGGAATTGGAAGATATCCCAAGAAATAAGACCTACAACAAAGATGAAACCTATTGCGAGGAACTTTATAAAAGCACGACTAAACGGCATAAAGCAGGCAAATATATTGTCACTGCCGTTCAAACAGGATTTTCCAAATAACGTACGATTAGGACTGTCACCTAAGATCGCTTGCTCACAATTTTTTCGAATTGAAACGCGTTTAGCAAAGGATCCACCTTTACAAACAGAATACAATAGGGTCTTGTCTGAATACGAGACATTGGGACACATGACTCGGATTCCTGAACATATTCCTGGAGACGAATGTGAGAATTACTTCCTACCTCATCATGCTGTCAGGAAAGAGGAAAGCACTACCACCAAAGTGCGAGCAGTCTTTAACGCATCGTGTCCGACTGCAAACGGAGTCAGTCTCAACGACATCCTCCACCCAGGTCCAGTCCTGCAAAGTGACTTGACAATTTTAATATTACGGTGGAGACTATTTCAATATGTGTTTAACAGCGACATCGAAAAGATGTATCGCCAAATTTTATTAAACCCTGATCAAACCAAATATCAACGTATTGTTTTCCGAAAAAGCTCAAGCGAACCAATTAATTTATATGAACTGAACACGGTTACCTTCGGTGTTAATTGCGCACCTTACTTAGCAATTAGAACCCTACTTCAATTAGCTGACGATGTAGAGAGTTTATATCCTGTAGCTTCAGATATATTGAAAAAATATATGTATGTCGACGATGTTTTAGCAGGAGGACACACCATCGAATCTACCATCAACGCTAAAGACGAGGTATCAATGGTTTTACAATCTGCTGGATTCCCGCTACGAAAATGGACATCCAACTGCGAAAAAATACTGGAAGGATTACCCAAATCACACCTTCTAAACGAAGATTTTTTGGATTTTGAGGACACTAGTACCGTCAAGGCGTTGGGCATCAGAAGGAACGCCCATTCTGATAAGTTTTATTTTACTGCCAAGCCATTGGAGATCGCGATCGCTAAGATCAGAATTCAAAGCCTTTATGGCCGATGCCCGCAGTAACACCATAACAAAATACACCCATCAAATGCTTACATGGCATTTCATTCCCGCCGCAGCTCCCCACATGGGTGGATTGTGGGAGGCGGGAGTCAAAAGTTTTAAATGCCACTTCACAAACATCGCTTCTAACCATAAATATACATTCGAGGAATTTACGACCCTTCTATGCAGAGTTGAGTCATGCCTCAACTCGCGACCCCTCAGTCCCTCTTCAAACCAACCCTCAGACCTAGAGCCGCTTACTCCAGGTCACTTCTTAGTCGGCGGGCACCTTCTTGCTCCTCCTGAAATCAACGCTGATGAACACCGTGCGTCGATTGTGAATCGTTGGCAAAGACTGAAGGCTCTACACCATACGTTCTGCAAGAGGTGGAAAACAGAATACCAATAGCCAACTTGAAAAATGGAGACCTCGTCGTTATTAAGGAGGACAACCTACCACCTAACGAGTGGAGATTAGGTAGAATCGTTAACCTACACCCAGGTTCAGATAACCGCGTACAAGTCGTGGATGTCATGACCGAAAGAGGGCAAGTCACAAGGCCATTAGTAAAATTGGTCTTATTGCCGCCATATAGAGAACAGGATGAGGAACAACCCAGCGACTCTGTCTCATCATCTAAGTCGTCGTAACAACCATCGCGAATTCCACTTCTCAACGCCCTACGCAATCCCACATCTCAAATGGCAAATATTCCAGTTACCGAATCTTCGATACGAGTAGCTTCGAAAGCGCATGTTTGAAGCATACGTACCTAAGCAATACAAAATAATCATGTGATTCCGTCACACCGAAAGTTATGTAATTTAGCATTAGGGATGGGGAGGGGGGGGGTTGCAATTCGATTTCTTCCGAATGTCGAATATCACCCAACCATTCGATTATTCGATTCGATAAATGGTGATACAAATTCGATTTAATTTATATTTTTCCAAATTTTCAACAACCTTTTACTGAAAATTCGATTTCTTCTGAATGTCGAATATTACCCAACCATTCTATTATTCCATTCGATTAATGGTGATACAAATTCGATTTAATTTGTATTTTTTCAAATTTTCCACAACCTTTTACTGAAGAAGTTAAAAGTTTGTCTGTAATGATAGTTCAAATCGAAAAAGAGACCAGCAATTGAACTTACACTGAAGTGATTAATTATCCGCAGCCTATCTTCACAACCAAAAGTAAAAACAAATAACAAGTATTTCTTTCTCGAAATATACTAATCTTTGGAGAAGTATAATGTACTTTATTTTCGTGCTCCACAAGAGCAAGAGAGATTTGTACGAACTTCACGTTACATACTTAAGTACACAAGACGAGAAGTTCGATTTCGAAAATTCGCCAGTTTGGAGCTAAAATTCGGATAAAAATTCGAATCTCGAAGCTTCGAAGACATTAGAACTAATTTATGGCCCCAATAGAGAAATATGGTACCAATGCCTACTCAACAAAATATATAGACATATGCAGTGTTGCCATCTTTTAATTTTCAAAAGGCACCGAAAACTTGGAAAAAGCGTTTTACCACACTAAAAGCATCAAGGGATACCTTTTTCATAACATAATGCCGAAGTACTTCACATTAAAACTGGTATATCTCGAGAAAGAAAAATCGAATCGCATCAAACGAAAATGATGCCCTGATTAGAAGTGAGCAAATAATTTGATGTTTTCATTATATAACCCCAAATATCTCTAAAAACCGTGTTCTTGGCACTTTGAGGTTAGGATAACTCATTATTCTAGCGCTAGAGCAAATGTGAGGCCAGATTTGGATTCAGCACCAATAAATGATGTGTTTTTACTCAAAAAAAAAAATTTACAAATAATTAGAAAAAGAAAAACAAATACTTAACATACTTGCAACTTTTTATCAATCATGGTTGTTTTTTAGTCCAATCAATTTGTAGATGCTTGTAAATTTAGTGCTGCCACAGCCTTAAATATTTTAAACTATTGCAGGTTTTAACTATCTCGAAGTAATTTTAGTTCAAAAAAAAGCCACTAAAAAGGGCACTAGGCACTAAATAATTTTTTTGGCATTTAAATTTTCAAAAAGCACTAAATCTGGTGCTTAAAGCACCAAGTTGGCAACTATGGACATATGTATGCATGCACAAACTTACAGGCTAACCTAATATTCGCGGCTTGCGTCATTGGTACGCATGCCGTCGAATTTGTTTTTTTTTGCGTCACTCGAAATTGACTTGCATGCGTTTGCATTTGATTTCATTGAGCGTAACGTCAAATCAAAATGTCACGCAGAACAAAAATTGGAATTTGAGTTAGCTTCATACGCATGAATATTAGGTTAGCCTGAAAGATCCAGGCAAAAGATTAACACTCACCAAAGTTTCGTTGGCTCATCCGCAGACCGGGTCTGCATTTGCATAAAACAAGATGTTTTGTGAGAGCACGCAGGACATTCAGCTTGGGTGGAATCTACATTTTCAATGCGGCTGCACCACCCATGATATGATCAACTTCCTTCAATCGTGGAAATGTTCGAGTTGACACTTTTCGTTGGACATTACATATATATGGGCGGGTATTGCCTGAAAATCAGTACCCAAATATAAAAGTTGTAGCACGTTTTAGTTGAATTATGACCAAGTAGGGTCAAAGATGGCAAAGACGGAATACGAAAAGCGCTGTA